ATATGTATCTCCAATAATAAATTGAAAGAAACGCGTAGATAATTCTTGTTATAGATAGAAAAAGTAATAGAGAAAGATGAAAGGATAAACTATTTTATTTCAACGAAGTTTGCTACACTAAACAGACTGATACCCTTTATACACGCAACTGCTCTCGAATCATACTCGTGTTCTATTGATTTAGAGAGAGGCGATAAAGAAAGATCTGGAATCTGAAGATACAAACGGGTAAATAAGATCTCGGTAAGCGACGACTTTGAGAGCTACGAGCTTTCGAACCGTATTGTTTCTTTCAAGAAAAACGGAGTAATAATTTTAACATTTCTCAAAACAAAGTCGTTCTCTTATTCTATCGCATCCCATCCAAGAAAGACGATAAAATACGCAATACAAAAGTAGAATGTTAAGTAAAGAGCAAGCGATAGATACCTATCCACTGCCGACTTGCTTTGTTTTATTCAAGCGGAAAAGCGATGTGTACTAACTGCACAAGGAAGTCGTTTCTAACGATACTTCGAACGCAATTGATATTCAATTATGTTTTCTGTTTTGTTGATTTTACAGAGCGTTTATGTAAGTGTTAACGTAAGTAAAATATGAAACAAGAGCAAGAATAAAATATATGATGTATTTATATCAGTCTTTTTGTGCAGAAATAAATTTACTATAAAGTCATTTATTATAAAGTCACTTTTTTATATTTGTTTCAAATTTAAAAATTATTATTTTTTCACTGGTAAATAATCTGTTTATGAATTAGTTTGCTTTACATTTGTAATAAACAATTTTATCGCGGTTTTTTAAAAAATCATTAGACATACATATATGCTGAACTATTTAAGCTCACGATAATCCCAAGAGCGTATAGTTGAAATCCTATCATGGGACACTTCGTATTGCTTTATTCGTCAATATTTCAATATTGGAAATAGACGTAAAATGCAGGATGCATGTAAATGCAAACCCGACTTCGGGAACTGCGCTTTCGAGTCGCGTTGTTTTCTTCGGACTGCCGGGGGAACCTTATGATATATGTGAGAGGGACTCGGAAAAGTAGCGGGATAAAACGAGCGCACAGGATCTATCGCGGTGGTGGTCGCTTTAAGAAATATCGGGGAAACTCCGCGGACCCTCCAAAGAATGGAATACTCGGCTGCGCTTAAACGGGTAGAACGGTACAAACGGATACTCGATATCGTTCCTTTGGATAAACCGAGCTTGAGTGCTGTGAATGCTTGCTGACTTTCCCACGACAGTCGTCCTTTCCCGCGTTTCCCTCGCGACGCGCTTACTGTTCCAGCGAACGCTCGTTTAGTATTGAAAACCAAATTTCGCCCGTCGACGCCGTCGTCGTCGATGACGTTAAATCCGATATAAAACTTTCCACTCCGATGTAGTCGCAATGACATCAAGCAGAAGAGAGGTGAAATACATGTGATCGATGCGGCAGGATGAAATTTCGTTTTTGCACATCCATTTTTAATAATGGTCTGAAGCTAAGCTAAAACATTCGTGAGTTAAGAGAGAGAAAGAGAGAGAAAATAGGAAAATTTTTAAAAATGTTGCATAGAAATAAAAGAGTGAATGATACCAAGCAATGACATTTACGTTAAACCAAATCCTAATTTTTATTAATCGGTAATATAATTGATACATTGAATGATTTGTACTCTGTACGCAGAAATTTTTAAAAAGTTCTAAGATTCATATTTTTACAAAAAAATATTATTACGTGATCTTTTATGTAAAATAAATCTGCTTGTAAATTTTACAAAGCGCTAGTGTGATAAAAAAGAATACTGCAAAGAATGTTTTTGTCTGTTACAACTTTAGCATATCGAGTGGTTTTGTGTGAATTTCTGTGCTCTTACAAAAATGGTGTCGACGTCTCTTTGTTTCCACGTTTCGTCTGCTTAAAATATTTATATCGGATATCACTAAAGGTGGATAAGCGTTTGGACGTAAAACTGTCAATATGTAACAAAGTATGTGTTTGATGTTCAAGCAAACAGGACTCAAGCAGGTCCCTCGGCGTAATTCAGTAATGGTCTTAGGGTGAGGTTCATAATAACTACGTAAATGAGAGGGGTCCTGTAATTAATTCCATCCCACGAATGGAAAGAGAGGTGGGGAGGGAGGGGTAGAGAGAGAATACACTTCGCGTCGAGTGTGCGCAACTCTATATACGAAGTAGATTCTATCTTGAAAGCCTCCTGCAAAACCACTGAATCAGTTCCGTTAATTTGTTAAGTATAAAGCGAATCGCACGTTTCCTCCTACGTATATATGTAATACAAAATAATCCATGCAAAACAGATTTATTCTCCATGTAATAGGAACTTACAATTCGTTGCACTATCTGAAACGCGTGATATGCGTATTTTTAATAATATACTGCAATTATTTTTATTACAAACATTTTTATAAATATATTTTTAGCTTTGTCGCTGGAAAAATTAGTAAAGTGTATGGAAATGTTTTTATTTTTGCTTTTTTTACATTGTATCTACCTTTTACTTGTAAAATATTAAAATATAAATGGATTTTTTAATATTACATATCAAAATGTGCCAAATATGCATAATTACTGTTTTACGAAATATTAAATTCTGCTTAATAACGTCTATTTAATGTGGGAGGATAATGATGATTTAATTATTTAAACAAGTGGGCTTTTTGTATAATCGATGTAAAATACATATGTATGTTGTACTTAAAACTCGTAATGACCGCATACATCCATAAACAATATTTTTATTAAACTCGTTCCAATTTTTTTTTAACTATGAAAAAAGATGCAAGACATCAAGGATTGCATACTCTTGCGCGCACATACATAATACTATCGCAGCAATATTATTCATGTGTTATTATACGCGGAGAAGCCACGAACCAGAAATGGCTCGTAAGGGAAATGCGGGAACACGGTCCATGGGTAGTATGATGATAACTAATACGTAATTTCGCACTATTGAAATCATGCACACCATTTCGAACATTCAAGCGGTAACACTAATGAAAGAAATTGAAAGCCGGAATAACAGATTGGTTATTCGAAGCAAATAGCAAATTTTCATTAAATTTCTGCTAAATTCAATACAAAAGCTGATACTGATAACATCTAAATGAAAATGTAAATAAACAAAAAACAAAATATAAATATACAAACAAATTGCTATAAATTTCATTAGATTTTCTTCACATGTTACGCATATCATATAATATAGATTGTGTTCATTATTTTCTCTCAATTGGATTTATTAAATTTAACGAAATTTTTTATTTAAGATAAACTAAAAAACAAATATTTTTTTCAAAATTTCTATAAATAAGTACTATAAATAATTATTATATAAAGCCGTATAGTATGATAATCAATTTGAAATGTAACGATTATTATTACCGTGCGAGGAAAATTGTTTTTAATTTAAGGCGATTTGTATGAAATTTAATCATTGACGAATTTATACTGCAAATATATGCACGTACCAATTGAAAACTATCACTATATTTATTACTATTATAATTTGATATTTAATGCACATCACTCGTGATTAAAAGGTCGAATTAATATACATTGACTTTATTTGTTGCAGAATGCACTATGCCCTTTAAGGTGATCAGCAATATGCAGAGTGAGTATGATTAAAGTACGAAAAATTTAATCCCTCTTTAAACAATCAATAATTTGCGGTACACACAGAATTCAAGACAGAAATCTGTTTATAATTTTATATAACAGAAAATAATTAAAGAATCAAAACACATACATATAAAATGAATGTATATTTTGATATATACAATATTTTGTACATATATGTATTTTGATTTTTAAATATTTTCTGTATCACACAGCATATAATATTACAGATAGCTTTCCGTCGTGAATTATAAATCTTTCAAAGCAAAGTTTATATTATAAATTGGTTATTTCTGCAAAATATATGACGTAGAAAACATGATTTTTGGTAGATGCGTTATGTGTATATATTGTATGATTAATATATATTAATTGATATATTTTATAAATATGTATATAGTTTCCTCAAAGTATACAATTTATCATTCTTATTACATATTGTTTCATGTTAACTATTTTTATTACTTATTATTAAATTCTCTACTCACTTATTTGTAATTATGCATACATAAAACTTTGTAATAGGACTCATATTTTTTATAATTTATTTTATAATAATTCTTATTTGCTTTAAAAAGATAAATGTTTTTAATTTAATGATATAAATATTGAGAAGGCTGTGTGAAAATAAAAACAAATTTCCATAAGTTTTTCAAAAAATCTTATACAAGTTGTATACTTAAAGAAAAAGTATTTTCCATTTGGAAAAAGCATGTAATTTAGTTAAAAATATTGCAGTTACAAATATTTTGCAGCATAATGTCTAGATATTATACAAAACTTGTTTTTAGCTTACTTTAACAAAGTTTGCTATTTTTGCAATTCACAAAGTATTATTACATTATTATATTATACATATTACAAATTACAAATGTAACTTTTAGGTAATGAATAGTTGCACATGTATAAATTATAAACGTTGTAACTCATTATTAGATGTACTGATACTTATATATGTACATATTCTAATACATATTTTAATAATATAAATTAAAAATTAATGTAGATATAACAATTGGAGCAAAATATTTTCTGGGTTTATTAATTCATAAATTGTATTAAATTAATATAATTTGAATCAAAAAGTCTTAATATAAGTATTATATAACAATATCAAATAAGAATAATTAAAAAGTAAAAGCATCTACTTCAACGCAAATCGATTATTAGATTAAAAAAATGCAAATATACCAACAATAAAACTTAAAATTCAAAAACGGCGACTATTCTATCGAACAATTAGATTTTATGCGGTAAGTTACCAGTAATGATAAATTTGCTTTTTATTTATCATACTATGATGTATTTTCTTCATTTTAATGTGGCAAGGACCACAGAGATGGCAATAGTATAGCGACACCATCGCCATTGTTTACTACAGCTGTGTGCTCTGTTTATTCACACTGCACTAACGATATTTTTTATGTATTATTGAGATATTTAGTGAAATAATCGAAATGATTAAATCTGTTTTGCGTTTAATTAAATTTCCTGCATTAACGGAATGTGCATTAGCCGATAGTGCTTCATTATCCGCCCGTTTAAATACTATAACCTTAAAGAACATTTGCACTACCTCGCTGTGCAACAAGGAAATTCGATTGAGAAGTGAAAAAATAAAGGTTGGCAAGAACAAATATGATGGAGTAGCAATAGAAGGAGAAGACACATCAATGTTCGATGCATCAAATGCTCATCAACAGTAAGTACAAGTTGCAACCATGCTTGTATAGCTAATCCAACTATCTTAGCTGAGATTAATTACATTTTATTGGTTTGTTTTATTACTGATTAAAGAATAACTTTTGTGCCTAATATGTTTCAGGCAAAATTTGTTTCCTGATGCAAACACACCCAATAGGCTCTTCAATGGTGTACCGTTTAAGGAATTGTATATCGTCAATATAAAATCAACGCCAAATAACACAATTATGTCTCTTTCTGAACATGATGGCAAAGTAGTATTATTACACTCAGCTGGTGTAGAAGGCTTTAAGAATGCAAGAAAAGGGACAAACATTGCTGCTCAACAAGCGGCTATAACATTTGCTAATGTAAGTATAGATTAGATGTGTTCTGTAAAAGTTTTGTATAGTAAGTATGTGTAAAATACAATATACCACGTTTGTCATATGTGTATTAGACATGAAATATATTCTCAATATATACATTTGTTTTTCATTTACAGCGTGTTCTTGAATATGGTGTCAACACAGTGCGAATACGTGTACAAGGTATTGGACCAGGTAGAATGGTGGGTATTTAAAAAGAAAATTGTTTCTTATTTTGTCCTGTGAAATTATGTTATATTGATTTAATGATACATAATGTTCTGAAAATTTTATGATTTTCAGTCTTCTATAAAAGGTTTACATATGACTGGAGTGAATATTGTATCAATTACGGATGACACTAGAGTAAGTTACAATCCTCCAAGACCAAGAAAGCAAAGAAGAATTTGAATATTAGATGTTATAATTTATTGTTAATATTGTAAACATATTATTGTGTGTGTGTGGATATATTAAAATATATCTTGTAAAAGTTCTATATTGTGTATCTTTTTAGGTTTCCAAAGTATTGAACTATGTATGTTTATTGCGTTATTTTATTAATTGAATTTGAAAGAATGTGTTTCCGAAAATTTTTTATTGCAATTTGACTTTTACATATACATGGAATATTAAAGTAATTTATTTTAAACTCAGATGTTAGCAATGTTAGCAGATAGACAGCAAATTTGATCAAATTTACTGTCAATTCACCAGTATTGTTAACACTTTATTTACTGAAAAAATTAATCTTGTGCTCTTTATTTTTATTTATAACGAGTAATTGTTACTTATAAAATTCTTTTTATTAATATATATGTATTTTTGAAAATTATTAACATATATATAAATTGTAATTGTGCACCTATGTATTATCACAATTATGTTTATATACACATTTACATAATGAATAATTAATTATACTTACTTGCTAGGATATTTTCATTTCGATATATCGATATTTTCGACTCAACACGCGCTATACTTCAGTTGACAAAACAGTCGTCGCTGGTTTAGAATTTAGAGCGCAAACACTCCGTGATTAATCGCGTTTATTAGTTGTTGAAAGTGCATAATGAGCGCAAAGTATCAATTAAAGTGAATGATTGTGGAAACGTATTATGTAGTGTGTATATATTTCGAGATTAATTGATATTCCGTCCATAGCAATACCGTGCATTGAAATAGGTTATAATGTCAATGAATACAGATTTTAATACTAGTAAACATGCAAAAGTAATCTTTATATTTATTAAGGAATGCGTTGTTTCAAAGCGCGGTGCACTTTTTATTAGATGTAGTTAAAAATTCAACTTGGAGTTAAATCGGGCAAAATTTACATTTATTGCGTACTTTACAATCATCACGTGACCATCAAGATAGCCATCGCTTGTCTTGAATTGTGTGTACGATCTCGAAATAATGTATAAAATAATCGAATACGATTTTATGCGTCGACGCGTTGTAACACAAAGTGCGTTCTATCTTGCATTTGCGTTTTATTTGCTGCAGTATGCAACGTGATTCTGTTGCGGATACTTTCGAAAGTGAAATGTGCGTAAATATTATAATTTCCGTCTAGTAGGCGTACAGATCTCTGATATTCATTGATTTTTCAATGGAGCTGAGGTAAAGCTGTTTAAGGCGCTTTTCACAGCGGATGTAACGAATAGCTGGTGAATAAAATTATTTGTTCATTATTTAAATATGTACATAATTGTGATAGTGCACATACATACACAATTACAATTCGTGTGTACTTATTACATATTTATTAAGATATTTCGAAATATTTATTAAATCGTTCACTGAATATTCATTAAAATTTCTCAATAATCCACACAATTTGTTGCATATAGCTTTAATCAAAATGGAAATAATTGAATGATATGTAACAATCAACATACATACATGGTATAATGTGTGCATACAATTTATAATAAAACTAAAATATATGTATTAATTTTTCCAGGTACAGTTATCATGTTTATTGTTACAACGACCGGTGTGAGGGTGCAACGACTGGTACGAGAGTACAACGACCGGTGAGTGAGATTTCTTATGACTTTTTACTATTTAACTAATAAAATAAATATGAAACATATCTTAGGAATATAGCAGAATATTGTCATACGACAGATCTTATAATTAGAATTTAGCATCCTATAAACATCCTAATAACAGCCTGTTTATCGACTAGTCAGCATTATACTTAAAAATCTTGACTTGGTTTTTTTTACTTATATTAATATAACATCATCAGGAAAAACATCATTAATTTAAATTAATTATTTACATCATCAATGCAACGATGCAACGATGCGTATTGCGTTCGTTGTTAAATGGAATGGACCTATTAAACTATCGAGACAGAGGCTCTTGTACTCTTTCTTCTTCTTTTCTTCTTATGTTTCCTCTTCCGCGTCATAAATTTAACGGCGTGTTCACTGCGTCTCTTGCGTGATCCACGAAATATAATCCGATATCCTAGTGTAAATGCCAGGAAGTCGTGGTCTGCTACAGCCTACGCCGGTTGAAACCACTCCGACGACCATCAAGGGCTCGGCAGGGCGACTTCCGACCATCAAGGGTCCGCCGCTGTCAGCCTAGAATAAAGTGCAGGATGTGCAATCGTCTTTGCACATTCGTAAGCTTCCGCGGTTATAGTAAACGACGCGGTGTAAATTCCACTTGCTCTAATATGGATTGTAGGGTTGAAGGAGTATCCATTATGGTAGGTCTCGTATCGTTCCGTGCGGATTCGGATCATAAATCTCGCTGCTGGAAATTCTCAAGATGGGAACGGTCTTTTACCGGCACGACATTTATTGACACGTTTATTTCACATAGTGCACTAATATCGCCTGAGTGACTTAGAGAACTTATAAATTGCATTTTTTATTATTAAAAATTATTAATAAATCTTTGTTATTTGCAATTTAATTACCTATTAATGTTTCAAAATTTTAGTTACGAAGAACTGCAAAATAATTTTACTTTTGGACAACAAAATTTTGTTCTGTTTATTAAAAAATGTACCCGCTATCGACCGATCAATATAATATCAATTTTGATTCATAATTTAAAAAAAAATATGATTAGTATAAAAATAATTAGAATCGTAAATATTAAATAAATATCTACAAATATTAGAAAATAACAAAAAAATGTATTATATAATGCTTTAACTCCGATCGTGCTATATCCAATATATCTTGAAATCAATTTTTATGGTTGCCAGTCCTAGTTTTCGCGCAAACGAGGCAAACAAGAAATCTAGCACATCTCAATTCCCATCGGAACTTTCAGCGATATTGTACTTTCTGTACTCCCTTCTTCCTTGATATATTTCGAAGCAATACGTCCGTTCTCGATTGTTTTCTCGGGAATATCTTCGTCTAGGGGAAATAGAAATCGTTGATAAGGGCACAGCAGAGATGCGAAGGAGACTTATCGGGGACAAGATCGTGGGTGGTATTCTCATTTTTGTTTCGATGGACGACTTGGTAATGTCGCGATAGGGTTCCCATGAGAGTTGCTTTCGCAGAAACTATTGTTAGTCTTAATTGACGACGTGAATTTAGTGCTTGTCTAGTAAGGAAAGCACATTGCCTATTCTCAGATAAGTGCGAAATAAGGAAATAGAAACATATATAATAGTATTACTGATACTTAACATTAATTTTATCAAAGAAAAGCCCAATAACGTTATTTTTCGTGAGACACTTACCAATCTCTCTTATCATTATTTGCATTTATTTTAGAGTTGAACTTTAGTGTTATCTTATAGAATTAAAATTGTATTTCTGAAGCATATTCCTAAATTTATAGATGCATTATTGTATTGACTTATCGACACAATGCTTAACAGTAAAGTTGTTCAAGTTGATCTGTAACATATAAAATACATTTAGATTATAGCAATAAATTATTTAAAATAATTATTTAAAAAATAATTCTTACGCATAGTAAACTTTTTTACTCCTCTGTCATGCAAATATCTAATAAAAGAACTATATATTTATATCTCTAATAAGTATAAATATTAAAAATTGCAAATCTTTTATTTTGAAAGATTTTGTTTTAAAATTTCTGTACGCGTTATATTGCACTTACGTGCAATATTTTGCAAATAATAGATAACAAATAAATTATTACTTACCCTAAAGTTGCTCCGCCGATGCCTGATGCTCTTTCTGACCCTTTTTCTTTCCTCGCACTTTCTTGCAGTTTTTAAAGGCACTCACATGCGTTCGCGACGCGAATACAAATTTTATACGGCACTAACGACGCATATTTTGTCATATTTGGACAAATAAAATTTGTACGGAATATTCTCGCACAAATTACACGTTCAACATTCTGCCGTTGAACTATGGAAAATAATAAGAATAGTATTATTGGAGAGAATAACACGTCGATACGAAACGATCTGCTTTCTACGAGATGTTGTGCGAATAATAAGGGTGCAATAAATATATCAGGAACAAAATCGCGTCGATTCCGGTTTGAGAAAATGCGGGGAGTAGGATGTAACGTGTGTCCTGATACATATATGTATATATATATATATATATATATATATATATAGAGAGAGAGAGAGAGAGAGAGAGAGAGAGAGAGAGA